GGGGGGGTTAATTTTTTTATAAATACCCATTTTTTCTTCTAAAAAAATCACACTCAACTCAATCCATCTCTCATTCTCTCAATTTTCAATCTCTCAATCTATCATTATTCATTCATTCATTCAATCATTCTTATTTCTTAACAATCTCTCAAATCTCAAATTTTAATTTCTCAATCTTAATATCTTATTATCTCTTTTATACATTCTCTTTTAAATATATTATATTTTAATATAAAAAATTTTTAAATTATTTGAAATTTTCGAAATTTAATATTTCTTTAATATCACAAAATATATAATTTATATTTTAAATATATTCTCTATTTTTTTTTGAAATTTTCGAAATTTTAATATATAAAATTTCGAATTTTTTTAAAGTTTCGAAATTTAATATATTATTTTTTTTATATCAAAATATATATATATTAAAATGTCGAGAGAGTCTGGTAGAAGGTCCGTGGATATGGGCGCCGTGAACCGAAGTTCGAGGAGAGGCAAAGCTAAAGCCATCTCCGACGCTTCGACCTCACGCGTTTCTCGAGGAAGACACTCCGTCTCTTCCTTTCCTACTATCCCCGATCACTTAATCGGGGACGCTATGACGGATGAAGAATTCGACCAGATTTATTCTGGTAGAGGGGACGGAAATCTCTCCACTCTTGATAGTGTATTCGAAGATTTTGATGAAGCACATCTAGATAATCTGGACGGGGACGAGGAGCCTACACCGCAGAGCAACGACGTCGACGTGGAGACAGGTGAGCCCGAGACCTCTCGAGGTCCGGATAAAGGTAAAAAAATATAAATCAGAGTTATTTGTTTATCATTTTGACAAAGAAACAAAAGATGTCGTAGTTTATGGAACTTGTAAACATTGTGGGATCGTCATAAAAATGGGAGTCTCCGGCGGTTATGGCGGTCCGGAAAAACACCTAAGGTCGAGGCATCCCGTGGAGTTTGCCAAATACGAGGCAAAAAAGAAAGGACGACAAGAAGTGCAAACCCAAATTTCTCGGTTTGCTAACAGAGGTAAGGGCGGCCTTTTTGCTTATAGCGACGAGCAAAATAAGCAAAAAATGGCCGAAATGATTTGTGAAGAAAATTTGCCATACATGTTTTCTGAAAAACTTGGATTTATTGATTATTGTCAACAGGCATTAAACCCTCAAGCACGAGGGTTTTCAAGAAAAACAATTAAACAAGACATTATTCGTCAGTATAAAACTGGAAAAATAAATTTGGCAAATTTTTTTCTCAATTTTAACTCTGGTGTTGCTATTTGTTCTGATATTTGGAGTGAAACTTATCATAATTTATCTTATATGGGTGTTACTTGTCATTGGATAGATAGTGTTGGATTATGCATAAAAGTGTTCTTGCATTTCGTGATTTCAATGAACAGCATAATGCTGAAAATATTTTTCTATTGCTTCAGAGTATTCTGCGGGAATACAACTTATCTGACAAAGTGTTTTCATTTGGTTTTGATAATGCTACTAATAATACTGCAGCTATTCCTAGACTTAGAGAAATTTGCCCACCATCTACGTCTATGGGTAGATTTCTGCATCAACGGTGTGCCTGTCATGTTTTAAATTTATGTGTTCAACAGGGACTAGAAGCTATGGGCGGAGTTTTGACGAATATTAAAGAAGGAATTAAAAAAATTTGGGGGGCTCGTCTTGTTTCGAGGTCCTG